GTAGGCTCTCCTCATCCTCCACAGGAAGTCCAAGTACTTCTGTGCCCTTCTGACCATTGAGGTGGTGTTTCCAGTCCAGGTGAGGGTGTCTGTGATGTGCACCCCCAGGAATTTGGTGCTGTTGACCCCCTCTACAGCTGAGCTGTTGATGAGCAGTGGAGTGTGGTCGGGACGGTTCTTCCTGAAGTCGCCTATGAGCTCCTTTGTTTTCTCCACATTCAGGATCAGGTTGTTGTCTCTGCACCAGCCCACAAAACATTGGACAAAACTGGTTATTCTATTCTATTCTATTCTATTCTATTCTATTCTATTCTATTCTATTCTAGCTTAATAATTATATTAAAATACTTGAAATGTAATCAAAATTTTATTCAATTCAATTCAGTTTATTTATAAAGCACCAAATTCACAACACATGTCATCTCAAGGCACTTTACAGTTCAACCAGATCACACAGTCAAATTGATTCAAAGTATTTCAATATTTAGAGGGTTTATTTAAAGTGGCTTGTCTCCCGCTACTTAGCATAACTCATATTTTTAGTTGATCTCAGGGCTATTCAGGAAGTCTCATGCTTACACTTTGAGCCATATGTAGATGCCACAAAGAGTTCCCTTTCATTACCAACTAATCCCGAACATGAACAACGCAAGGGATATAAATTTAGATTTCAGAAGACACAGGAAAAATTCAAACGCTATGATGGTAGGAGAAGGGTGGAGGAGAATAAATATCTTCGTGTTCGCCTGAAAAATGGACGTGACCTTAGAAGCAGCAGTAAAGCCATCGACAGGACGCTTTGGTCCTTCAGTGTTTGCAGCAGGATGCTACATAACTTCTCATAGTTCTGTCACAGAGAGTGTGATCTCCTCGGCCATCATCTGTTAGTTAACAGCATCATAAGAAATGACTTTAAGCTTTACAAGTTGATAAAAAGGCCAACTGTTCTAAGAGATGATTTCACAAAGAAGAAATATCTGTGAGATATAGAATAATATGGACAACAGTGAGTATGCCCTTGAAAGACTGGTGAACAACAACAGTGCCTTCAGTCAAAGCCTTTTCCACATCTGCTGCAACTTGTGAAAAAAGCTGTAAGACTTGTAACAATATCCAATTTCCATTTCTGAATAAATAAGGTTGTTTTTTTTAGAATAATTGTTGATGTAGCTGCCTTTAAGCAAATACTAACTTACTATCATACCTTATTGTAGGCTAACAAAGAACCTAAAACGACCCCCATTCCTAAGAGAACCGTTCTTCTGGTTCAATCTCCATGTTTTCTAAGCCAAAACAAGTCTTTGGGCTACTATATAAAGCTTCAAACTCAATGCTAGTTCTAACATTTTCGAAGTGAAAAAGCTTCCTGGATAAAAAGTGAAGTGTCTTCAAACTTGGAAACCAAGTCCAGTTTTTTAACTTTTTTGAAATGACTATCACCTGGATTACTGAGAATCTTCACCTGCATATACCACCTTAAAGCTGCATAGCAGTAAATTGCTTTAGACTGGAGTTGGAGACGCCTCATGGAGAAGTTACAAGTGATGGATGTTTTAACAATTGCACATATTCGTTATGAAAATTGAGGCTTTTTTTAATATAAAGAAATAATCCATCTTCTATAACCTTGTGGAATAAATTCTTCTGATGCAAAGAAGCTTAAATCTTTGGGTCACAACTGAAAACTTAACAGATCCAAATTAACATACAATGCTTGACAGCAACATGTCATTTCTAAAGTGTAAATCTTCAGACTGAACTGATGTTTATATTGGATGAATTGTTCCTAAGCAATCTGGTTGTTTGGTTCTGCTGCAGGTTTCTTCCTGCTAAAAAGGGTTTTTTCTCTCTACTGTCGCTACAAGCATGCTTAGTGTGAGGGATTGCCTTTGAGTCAATGAGTCGATGCAATCAACTGGGTTTCCTTATATAGAAAACTTTGAATCAATTTGCCTGAATGATCTGGCTGAATTGGAAGGTGCCTTGAGATGACGTGTGTTATGACTCTATTTTGGACTCTTGGGAGGCCAATACTGTAGGTCACTTTGAGCAATTAGTTTTCAAAGACTCCAGAAAAAGGATCAGAAATCAGCAATGGAAGAAAAAGAATTGGTTTCTAATTGAAATACTGATTGTCATTTATGTTTTGTATTTGTTTTGCATTATAATGATAGCCGAGCTGTTTTGAACTACATTTTTAATGGGTTAAAATGGTAAAAAGTGAACAAGAGCCTACAGATTATGATCGGGTTTAGATGTAGCACCAGAAGACATTGCTTTCACCAAAACAGCAATAGTCACTGGGATAATTCAAAGAGCACACGCCTCCAATTAAAAGACGTACTCACAAAATAGAGCATTGTGAAATCACATTTCAGCGGCTATTATTCCTCAGCAAATATATAAGTAACATCTCTGTGTCTTTAATGCCTTTAAATTACCCATAAAACTGTGCTAATTTTGGGAAAGTGCAAATACTAGAATAAAATTTGGCTTCAGTGTCTGAATTACTTATTTTAAACTATTTTTAGCCTAACATCATTCTGATGACAGCAAAAGGCAAATTGTGTTTGTTCTGTCACAGAGACCCTGTTGGAGGTGTTAGATGTGAGTATATTATGATCTATTTTTACCGCTGCCTTGAGTGAATCTCAACTCATTTCTGTATCTTTCTCTGTGATCAGTATGGTTTTGAAACCACTGTGATTATATTCCACAACCAAAAAAAATAAATGTTATCTGGAATGCCTGTGGATTAATCTCTCTTAAAAATCCTAGGTTGACATGGGTGATACTCATTTTACCAAACTTCATAGTTTTTATTATTATCTTCTTAGATGTTGATGTCATTGGGTAATATCTGATTAGATCACTAGTATCTTTCTTTTTTAAAGAA